CATGCGAAATTTAGAAATAAATAGAAGTAATAGCCTTCTGGCAAAAAAATCAATCTTTACTCACTGAAAATTTCAAAGCAATTGGTCCAGTAGTCAAAGAGAAGAGCGATTTAAAAAAAAATGATGGAGACAAATAATAATAACAAACAAATTGAAACGATCGTTATGTCCACTACGTGTCCAATAACTGCTACATATAGATTATTAACCATTTGAAAAGTAGAAAAGATTTCTTGCTATCGACTAGGTAAATAAAAATTGGCTATCGACCATATATTAAAATCATTTTCAAAATTCAGGCTTGGTCTTATTATCGGGGAAGCATGGTAGAAGCGTCGCGCCTGTATAACAATGCATATTCTGATTGTAAAACCCGATTTGCGCCGGTATTTGCATAACAATGCCGGCTTTAATAGCTATGTGCGCCTCGAAACATGTCACATACTTTATTTATTTTAAATGTTTTATTGTTTCTCATTGTTGCAAATGATGAGTATATGAATCAAATTTATTTTACCGTTCTATGTTGTTTAATTTATTTAGGGTCTATTGTTACGTATCAGTAGAGGTACACCCTACATGAAATTTTGTAGGCTGCAGTTAATTCATTTGCTGAACCGAGTTTATCAAACTTGAGTGATTTTTCAACATTTCAAAGAAAAATCAGGCAGATTTAAGGAAGAAAAGTTGGTACTCCTGTAGTATGTGAACCAAGATGGCGGACACCGGGACGTAGTATGTGTATTGTGTACCAGGTTAGGGTTCGCCCATAATTTCAGGTACAAACGTGAATCTCTTGGCTAGTCTCCAAACTCGTAATAGAACTAAAGTAAGGAAAATTGGAATGAAATTATGGTCTAACCCTAACCTGGTACACATACCACGTTCCGGTGTCCGCCATCTTAGTTCACATACTATGGGAGCGCCGAAGAGTTATCCCTAACCTTTGTTAATAAACCTCAAGACATAAAGTGCATATAATAACGATGACAAAATTGTGTTTTATTTTTTATCAGCATATTTTTTGTATAGGCGTGTTTTTCCTGATAATTTGGCGCTACGCAAACCGCTGCCTTATGGTAAGTTTGATCAATAAGAGTGAAAAATTCTGGATAAAGACCATGCCGTCGGCGACCAGACATCGTAATTCATCATTTAGGCCCCCATAATCAAACATTGAGCCACGGCTGGACTTGCTATGCAGCAAAAAGCATTCGCACCCATTAAACTGAATAATTGAGTAACGTTAATCTGAGTAAATATGTGCTTGTTTTCTTATTGAGTACGCCTACTAAAAGTTCAGATTTAGCTGTGTCAATAAGATATCAAAAATGCATATTTCTAACTGTTTAGCATTATTAACGTGAATGGGGGCCGCGAAAATATATATTAAATATTACCGGTATATTTAATATATTAAAAGGGGCCGCGAGCTCAAAAGTTTGGGAAGCCCTGGGGTATACGATCAGTTATTTGTTTGGGCAATCAGAGGTACGGCTGCGGGCGTATTCCGAACGCTTAGCACAATGCGCAATGTTCGCATTAAAATGTTTTTACCGGGGGTATCTATGCTAGTTTCTTTCCTGTCCTGCTCTCTGGTCTTCAAATGGCATTGTTGTTGTCCGTTCTGTGATAATTTGGTACTATGACCTCACGTTTAATTATACTATTTTCACCGATAAGTCGTTCTACGTAAATCTGAATAGTAAATCGACCAATGTGACCAAGTTATATTTCTCAAACAGTTCATAATAATATAAATATAATACCATCACTATATTTGACATATAGCGAGAGATACATACTCTATAAATGCATTGCCTAATAATATGTAGGTAAGTATCACCAGCAAGTTTGGTTGAAATATCGGCTCATTACACTAAGTCAGTAAGTGATTATTCGATTAGCCATTGTAAGCAGCGGTAGAAGTTAGTTTGACACACCTCATTTATGTCGTGATATTTCATTCAGAGCAACTGAGAATGTCGGACAACAAGAGAATGTCGGACAACAAAACAATGTCGGACAACAAAACAATGTCGGACAACAAAACAATGTCGGACAACAACAGAATTTCGGACAACAACAGGGTGCTCAAAATGTCGGACAACAACAGGATGCTCAAAATGTCGGACAACAACAGGCAGCTGTCAACGTTCCACCAGAAAATATCGCTGAAGGTGTCGATGGTTTGAATTTGTCACTAAGAAATACCGAGGCTTTTCAAACTCAGGCAATCAAAAAGAGAAGTAAGTTGTGTCTCTGTTTTAACAATGGCGGTTTTAAGATTTGTAGACTATCAATTAGTTCTATTGGAAGCCCAACTAATCAGGTGTACTCCCGAAGTATGTGAACTATGATGGCGTATACCGGAGCGCAGTGTGTGTACCAGGTTAGGGTTAGGCAATAATTTCAGGTGAAAATACTACAGGAGTCACTTGGCTAGTCCCCGAATTCGTAACAGAACTAAAATAGGGAAAATTGAAATAAAATTATGGCCTAACCTGGTACACATACTACGTTCCGGTGTCCGCCATCTTGGTTCACATACTTCGGAAGGACCTAGTAATTAGGCATACATATGCATTAATTTCATAAGCAAAGCCGCTCACAAAGTATTGATTTTTAGCAAAGAATAACGTATTAGTTATTATAATAACTTATTAGCGCTTAAAATAATGTTTTGATAGGGTTTCATAGCCACCGCCGAGTTGTAACGTTGAAGTATTTCGTCACGAAGCTGGAATTAGTCTTCCGATTCCCGTATTATGCTTTGTCTGGTCTGACGCGCAATGGCGCACAAGTTGCCAGTCGCGTATTATCTACTCACACCTGCTCGTTATGACACTTGGTAGAAATAACCCGAAATGTTTTATTCCCCGCCTGTGTCGCACTAAGAAAATAGAAGGATAATACTTTGATAACATTTCTCCCAAGGTAACGGTAAGAAGGGAAAACGCATATTTCCTGTCCAAGTATGTTTTCCCACATTTTGTTTACCGCCATTCGAGCGGAGGCACAAAAGAAATAGCTCAAATATTCATTCTTAGGAAAAAAGCATGATTTACAATTAACATATAATTCATATTTTTAACTCCGAGTCTGAAGCATAAATTGTCGTGAGTTTTCGGGTATACGATCCATTTAAAACCAAGTATAATAGAAACTCATGGAATACTGAATTGGCAGTTTAAGATAAATACGCCACACAACATCTAATTCTAGCGTAACGCATAAACGAGTGTTTGCCCGTAACTTGAAAATAATTAACTGCAGATCGGTAATATTCATTTATTTTTCCTTCTCGTTATTTGGAGTTCGCATAACCACATTCGGCAGATTGGACGCCGCCAATAACAGCGATATGAACAAATGTTAAATGTTTTTTTCTTCTGGATATCGCAATCTTTTTCTAAATCTGATTCGAATTGGTTCGAACGAAGCAATTCGAATTCATAAATCAAAAATCTGTACTACTGACATTATGCAAAATGACAACGGTGAATTACGTGTTAGTGCAGTGGGCGCTTTTCAAGTGGAACTCGAGAAACTTTGAATTATTGTAAAAATTAACTTTTGAGTTGGATAAATAATGGCGGCTCCTCTTTATCTAGTATACTGTGTTTATTCGCTGAGGAGCGGGTTTATAGCGTTATTGTCTCTACCGGTTACATTAGCGCCCTCGCGCGCTAATGTGCACATACGATCGTAAAACGAAACGAGCACGTTTTCGCCCGTTTTACGTGGTATATGCACAATGCGGTAGCGTTCGGTTCGAGGCGGTGTCCTGATAGCGCCTTGATACATCTTACGAATGTTGCTATTGCTACCTGTTGTATGAGCTGGCTGATCGGCAAAATTTTGAGTTTTATGCTTAAATAATTTAGAGACTAGGTCGGACAAGGCAGTTCGGGATGGAGGCTAACGCCGATCAAAGTGTATTCGTCCGAGTTTTCCTATGATTCCGTGATTGAAGTCTTTCATCTCTGTCGTAGACAACACAAATTCTCTCGCAAGTTTGCACATAATTAATACGTTGTTAATGGATATAATTAAAATAAGTTGAAACTTTGCACGAAAGTCTAAAAATGAATGTAGATTGTAGAATATTCCCATAGAGCGCTTCTCGTGTCATCATTGTTCCTCACCCCAAGGGGGGTTTTGTCGGTGGCACGCAGCCGGAGTAAAACTCACGAAAGTGATACGCAGTCAGAAAAGGGTTGAGAACCACTGTGTTAGTGAAATCCGATTGACCCGATACTTGAAGCTATCCATACATTAATTTGGGTATAAATTATTATTGTAGCACTGATCTGTAGTCATCATGCCTTCTTTTTTCACTGATATAATTTATTTTTTCTAAGATTTCCCAGGAGATGCAATAAACGAAATGGCTCGAAAAAAACAAAGATCGATACCATCTCTCAACATCGCAAAAGGTGGAAATAACCTTCTGAAGATTTCAATGCTTCGATGTAAGTAGGTAGTACGTAGAAATAGACCTGACAGCGCGGAAGAAATCTAAGACGGGAAGATATAGTCCAGAGTTTGAAAACAACCATCTACCCTATCATGAAATGCATATTTTGGATAATCCTGGCCTGGCCGCTGCATATAAACGGGTCTTTATGTAGAAGTCTTAAACTTTCGATATCAACACGGTAATTCTAAGTCGCTCGCTACTGAGACATAAAGATTCTAAGACTCAAGACTAAGGATGCTAAGTATGACTACTTACAAGTATTCGATTCTTATCCGATTCCTAAATTTCCGATTCTTGATTCCTCCGCGTATCTTACTGAGAAAACATACCCGCTGTAATCGAATTCAGACCCGATTCCGCCATCCCTACCCAAGGCGGAAACTTGATACGCGAGACACAAAAGCTTTTCATTCACTGATATAATTGGTTTATACAATCCAACATACACATGGATAATCGTAGGTTTCATTATACTAAAGATGAATTTTAGTAAAATTGGTCCGAACTTCTATTCCAGGCAGAGCAACAGCATTGATTGGACAAACTAAGTTTGATAAAGCAGCAACTCTACTTGAGGAACTTGCTAAACTGCAGAAATGTACGGAACTAGACACGGCACTTATGATGGTCGAATGTTATCTGCAACTTGGGAGAGAAAAGCAAGGTGAAAAAGCCATTGATGACGTCAGACTGGCAATCATGGCATCAGTTGTCGCTGATGACGTCAAAACCCTCGCGATCGATTTGATTTCGAATTCTGCTTACATTCGCGCTATAATATTGCTTCGAATAGCAAGTGATATCTACAAGGCTCGCACAAGAACACCCGATGATGTAATAAATTGGATTAAACTTTGTGTCCGTAAGATACATGATGCTACAAGGTCATTGATAGGAGCCGGTGGTCGATCTAAAATTATAGGAGTGGATTACGGCATAGAATATATGACAGAGATGCTGGATGATATTCGCGCAATAGAAAACGCTGATCCAGTGAATAAAGCAATACAAGAGGCTTGGTGCTTGAATTACATTGGATCTAACTATAACCCGGCAGGTGAAAAGGAGAAAAGTATAAAAATACTAAAGAATGGACTGGAGGTTTTGGAGAAACAGTTCGGGTCAAACGCTTCAAAATATCAAATCTACGGTTTATTGCTGCATAATATCGGTGTAGGGTATTATGTTCTGCAGAAATATGAAGAAGCAGAATCTTATTATATTAAAGCCATTGGAGCCAACCAGAAGGCCTCGGATTATGAGAATGAAGCTGAGAAACAGGAAAAGATTGAATATACAAAAACTGAGCTCAAGAAAACTCGCGCAATTAACCTGATATCCGCATCGCATATTCACAACAAATTGTAATTTACTAAAATTATCTTAAACAATGAATAAAATATTTAAACATTTAATTTACATTTGTTTTGTTATTTTATAGTGTAATAAGATTTAGCAGTTTTACTTGAGTAGACCAGTTATATCACACTCAATTTACTAAAATTATCTTAGAAAATGAATATTTTTCAAATATTTAAACTTTTCATTTACATTCAATTAATGCTGTATTATTCAAAACTGTTAAGAAAATCAGCAGTTTTACTTGCATCACCTGGTCATATCTATTCTCTATAATTTTAACTTTATTATTTCAGTCGCATGTTTTATGAACAACTGATCAAGCATGGTTTATAGATAATGTAATATTCCAGGATGTTATCATTTATAGATCATACATGACCAGGCGTGAGATGATTACTTGTATTACTCAACTTAACAACTTAATTACTTGTAAATTTTGGTTAATTCACTTAATATTTTCAAAACTCACTTTTTTGCAATATTACGCACACTCATTTCTGGTCGAAGTTACAGGCCACCACTAAAATGCCAAAAGCTACTGAAACTATATACAATTATGGTGATGCACTACACGCACTCATACAGAACTAAGAGAAACTCATCTATTAAAAAAGACGACCACTTCCAAATGCCAAGAGCCACTAAATATGATAGAATTATGGTGGCGCTTTATACGAAAATAAGAACCATCTCGGTCGATACGATCAGGAAAACTACCATAGCATGATTTGTTTGTAATTTTACTTAAAAAAACTATCTGTTCACATTTTTACAATTTCTAACCGAGTTTTTCTTTTCATTTCCATCAAATTGTATCTCATGCTGTTAACATATCATAATTGGAGTGATTTGCTTTTGTTTTGTCTTTTACATTTAACAACTGAACTTGACAATGTGGGCCATATATAATGCGGGATTGCTTCTATGGGAAATGTGCGTAGCATTTCATAAACTATCAAATATATTGTAAAATTGCCTTGCATTGCAGCGTTGTACTTCTCAGAATAACTAACTTGTGAACTGATTTAATTTTTCTGTTTTTCATTTGGCAAGCATTAACTGGACAATGTTACCATACATGATGCCTGATTGTAGAAAACAATTTATCTATGGGCGATGCTTGTTTACGGGCAATTTGTCAAAAGCAGTTAAAAATATGACAACATTGTCTTGCATTTTCAAGTGGTACCTCTCAGAATAACTAACTGGTGAATGCCACTAACCCGAGAGTGGCGAGATAACGATTAAGTTTATTTACACGAATATGAATCAATATCGAAAAAATTTCTCAATAAAGTTAATTTTATTTTGTGAAAATTGTACTGTATATATTTCCAATTGTTTTCATTTTATTGTATTTTATCTTATTCCGTTATTTACGATCAATTTTCATCCGCTGAATTGAAGTTTAACTGACATTTCAATTTTTTTGACATTTTTATTTGAACGAATAAAGGAGAAATATCACTGTTTATATTTGTATATATGCATAACCCCAAGTCGAATTTGGTAAAAATGCAAAATTGAATAAAATTATCAAAAAATATTGGAAAAGCAATTATTTCCAAAACTAACTTGAATTTGTTTCTATTTACTTGAAGCCTAATTGTTATGTTGTTTTGTTGATTCATTTTCAAAATTATTTTGCTCAACAATATTTTTGTCATTTTCAACATAATAACCATTACATATTGTAATATTATATCTTTAGAAGTGTGTAGAATATAGAATGCAGGGAAAGTTGTAAAGAGTTATTTCAATTTCACTGAATGTATTATTTTTGAATTTGTTTTGAATGATTCCTTATCTTTATTCACAACTACATGTAAATACCAGTTATTTTTTATTGTAGTTTTCACATTATAAATTTAACTGTATGTCTAACGGTTCGCAAATTTTCTTCAAAAATATTTGAAATTAACCAGAATTTTTTAAGTGGCGTTCTAATACCTTAACTCCTAACAAGCTGACACTGATAAGTGGGAAAATGAACTTTTTGGAAAAATTTATTTACATTTCCAACCCTATTTATTATTAAACTCAGTCAACGCTGACTTCGTAACTCAATGAACGCCGATTTCACTTATCAGGGCTCAATGTTCTTGTGTGATTCTGCAAATCAGGTGATGTTTGCAGGATGTTTTATTGTCAAATATCAACTCTGTATTATGTATAATATACATGAACATTATTTAACAAAACTTATACGATTTTTCGTCACATTACTAATGTCCTTATGTTTTTATGTATTCCTGGTCCTACCCACATTCTAGTATAAGAATTATAATCAAATATAGAATCCTATATTATCCAGGCTCGCTACCTTACTAATGTCGTTTTTGTCCGTATACAAATAATAAGCTTTTTGTAGCATTTGCGTAGCTTATATAAAAGATTGTTGATTAATATTTCAAACATTTTGTCACTATAATAAATAACTATAGCTAATCCCAGGCAATATTACAAGTGTTTGTTAGAGATGAGAGCATAAACCACTTTATATTGAAGTTGCCGTTTATGTGTAGCTCCAGTATTTCAGTTTTGATTTTTGGAATAAATTTTTCGTGAAAGCTGTATAATTGTTCCCGATTAGTTTGAATCAAAATAATTTATATATTGAAGTAAATTGATTGCTCATTCTTAGTCACTTTTACTTGTAAATGCCAGTGATTTGATTGTATTTTTAACAGTGTGATTCAACTAAAATGTGATCTTTATATTTATCGATTCACAACTTTCTTTTACAATTATCTGAAATAAACCAGAATTATAACCAGTTATGGCATTATATAATAACCATAGCTTAGCTATACTAAGTAAACAGTGACTATCATTGACACCTATCGCATATGGATAAGCCTGTTTAGTGTGAGTTCCCGGATACAAAATGGCGTTAGTTGTCTTTCGATTTCTCGCGCAGGGAAGCATGGTGGAACAATATGAAGTGTAGTTATATAAGTGAATCAATATATTGCTTAATACATATATCTTGTGGTCGGGAACATAATTGCTTCGACGCGGACCGACTTGCCGCTGTAATGGAAGTAGACGAACCTCGACTGAAGGAGCCTTGTCAAATAACGCTGTGTCGCAATGGTGTTATCCTACATACTGGATATTAAAGTTACAAACGTCGGTGAAAATAGAAAACCATTTGTTGTTAATTCATTAAAAAAAATGAGTACGCCCCTGGTATGTGTACCAGGTTAGGGTTAGGCCATAATTTTATTCCGATTTTCTTATTTTGGTTATATATATTACGAGTTCGGGCACTGCCTGTGTTAGTCAAATGAATATACCCCCTCTCCGTAGATTTCAGTCCCTTCACACAACTTGATGTAAAATAGGCGAACAAATTAGTTACCACCATATTGGTACACATACTTTCGCATTGTCAAAAAATGATATGGTTTCTATATTTAACTATATGCTATAGAGCAGTGGTTCTCAACCGACGGTCCGCGGCAACCTTGCTGCCGGTCTGCCAAATATATTCCAATATTATTGTATTATAAGCAAATTGTAAAATACAAAGTATTGACGGCATGTCCAATACTTTTGGTATTTTTATATCCTATTGATTTGTAGCACCGGTATTCGTCTAACAACCAAACTTAGTGAGAGGTCCTATGCTCATTTAAACCCTGAACAACTGGAAGTTCGCCTTTATGACCTCATAACGACGACTAACGTCATAACGGAGGAGTTTTCGCCTTGCAGAAACTTCATTAGGACCGCGTTTAACACGTATAATATCAAAACAAGAGCAGAAAATTTCTCATTAAATTAGAATGTCTTCTTTTGCACCACCTAATTGCATTCCTTAGATTATATTTTGTGTTCATGACATTTTTGAAGGTCCAACGGTCCGCAAATTTTTTTTTGAAATTTTACCGGTCCGCGAACTGAAAAAGGTTGAGAACCACTGCTATAGAGTCCAAAAGATCTGTATCGCGCATCTGAGATCCATCCATGGGTTGTAATTGCGAAGGCATTAATTTAGTCTCTATATCGCCACCTCCCGGCATACTGACAAGATATCTGAGATATTTCGAACCTCATTTCCTTATTTAACTATTGACCACATATGAATCCAAATTAGCATTAGTAGGCTACTCAGGTAGATAACGGTATTGAGTGTTGCTTATTGTGGCTTACCGGAATTGATATTACCACTCAGGTTGTTTCTGCCAGCTTCTCGGACACTGAAGTTGTAATGAAGGTAGATCACGAATGGCCTTCTTGCGTTTTCGAATGCAGCAGAGTGACTGACTTAATTATAGCTAGATTAATTATACACCAGTAAAAACTTGATACAACCAAATACTCCAACCAAATATACAATAAAAATACAGTAATAAATACCATAGAGATACATACGGAACACAAGATACGGAATTGGCCTATGACGTCACAATCATGAATTATTGACTTATGCTGGGCGATAAAAACCGTGTGAATAAATAGAATGACACTAAAGATACAACAAAAATCTGATCTTATCGACAAACACCTAATATACATGGCAATACCGGTCACATAGAATTACGGATATCACACCATTCACACGGGAAATTAGCTACGAAATTAGACTAGTTACGGAAACGATAAATACAAGATAACTGGTGAACAGCGCTATGCCAAACTGGGGAAGCAGGTGACATGTAATAATATTATCAGTTTACAACAAGAATTACATACATTTACGGCATCAAAACACTATAATAATAACCTAATACAGAAAGGAAATTCCACACTGCCGGCAGTTTGACAACCCAGCTAAAAGGGAAAGTTGCTCAGCTGCTCACTAGCGACTCAAATGGTGAGAATAAATATGGGCATAAATATAAAATATAGTTATAGACGTGGTCGTTATACACTTTTATATCTCAGGACCGTGATTTATAAGTTGAATGAAAATTAGATGCAAGCGTTATATGGATATATATATTGTTAATACTAGGCCGATTTTGAGTATGGGGTACCTTGTTGCAAAGACTGAACTAATCTATCTGTGAGCCCGACATAGTAACAAAACAATCCATCAACTTCATGTCCAATAATTATTACTCATGGCATTGAGAAATCACATTGCGGGCAACAAAGAACGTTTTACGTGTGAAGCAATAGCAATGGCACAACAGCCTGCTGGAATATTGTATTCGTTGGCTGTTTTCAGCAGAGCATGTTGAGCATGTTTTTAAATCCCAACTTGATAAGGCCATTAAAACCAAACTGTAAATTAAAAAGTATGGGATAATAGTATATCTTATCGATAGCATGATTTGTCGTGTTTGAAAAGTGGCGCAGATTAAAGGTATATTCTAAAAGTTTTCCTACGTCAATATACATTTCAAAGCGGCCCGAAGTCACAATAGTTTGTATATTACTAGGAAAGGTACCGGTAGGATACGACATATTTCAGTAATAGGAAAACATCTTACCTGACATTGTTCGTGCTGGCAATGAACGTTTATAATCCTTCCGAGACAATCAGAAAATTCATCCTTATCTATACAATCTCACTGCAACAAGCGCATTACCAACATTCAATTCAGTACAGTGATCGTCGCTGACCTGTTCACAATTTTTTAGCCAACAAGGAATTTTTAGGTTGCCAGATATCCACCGTTATACCAAGATCTTTCTGTTAGTCATTGGCATGTGTTTACGATCAGGCTGTGAATTAACTGAATGAAAAGCATTGGTGGCAACTTTCAAGTAGCGCAGTCATTTCAGCAGTCAGTATACGTTTCGAATCCATAATCACCATAACTTACGATAAAGCAGTTAATAAGACAAATAAATAAAAACTGGTTATAGTATTAAGAGATAAAAAAAAAATACCTTGACTAAGGTTTAAAGCAGGGGTGTGCTACAGTACAGTGATCGCTGACCTGTTCACAATTTTTTAGCCGACAAGGAACAAGGAATTTTTAGGTTGCCAGATATCCAACGTTAAAAAATTCATCCTTATCCATAAAATCTCACTGCAACAAGAGCATTACCAACACTCAATTCAGTACAGTGATCGCTGACCTGTTCACAATTACCGACATTCATAACCTTTGACCTGTCGCTACTTCCGCATTACTTTTGTGGAATCGAGGTGACCGCGGTTTTCTTGAATTTTTCTTGCGAAAAATAACTCGCGTTGGCGTCTCTGCTGCGGAAAAGATATTAATGTTCAGAGATGTCATGGCAGCATGGTGTTGAATGTACGATACTGTCATGTGTTTCGAATGGTTTTGTAGGTACGACAGTGTAGTTTTTTCAAAACACTAGGGCAAATGGAGAATCTGAAAATGGATGAGCTGGATTACGGTAGGTACGGCACAGCAGTGGGGCTTTGGGTGTATGTATGTATGTTTATTTGCCTCAAAAATGTAACAGTATCTGCATAATCAACGGTACGGTACCTTTACCCCTGTAGCCTTATCCTGCATATCATTTGTCAGTATTCAGGTATTGAAGTATGTGCTAACCATATGTGCTTTACTGCTACTACAGTTCTAATAGCCTATTGTATAATATACGTTTTTCATCTATCAATAATGCCTTTACGATGGAACTGCTGTGTGGCGGGATGTACCTCCAATTGGAGGAATTGGACGCAGTGCTACTATGTTCCGAAAACAAAATCGATATTGAGATATTATAAAGCATTTTTAAAGACGGATGGCGTAAATTGGCACCTCCGGAAGAACATATGCTCAAGGCATTGGAGTCAACCTCGGCGAAATTTCAAACATCTGCCAGACATCAGAGTACCCAGGAATAGAAAAATTGAGAATTTAAATGGAGATGCTAAAGCCAGGACTATTCGTGTGAAAAAATTCAATAAGGCGAGAACTTTATTTCAGAGGAGTTCAAAATCAAATTCAGAGTCCAAAATGTCCAGTATACTCAAAGATATGGAGAAATTGAAAACTGAAATCCAGCAAATTAGGTCAGAAAATTCTCAATTAAAATCTGAACTTAAGGAACTGCACCAAAAACTTCGAAAAAATTCAAAGCAAACATTAACGAAAAAATGTAATCAAAGAATGATGTTTCACTGGGATGCTCTCAGTGACTCTGAATTAGAACAGTTCACTGGTTTTAATAGATGCGACCTACAAACAATATATTCATGCCTCGAACCATTTCTTCACCTAATTCAATATGAAAACTGCAAAAATGCTACGAGTACAAAGAGAAAAACTACTAAAAAAAATGAATTCTTGGCTGTAATGGCAATATGCCGCCATGCTCTACCTGTTGCAATAGTTGCCTGGATGCTACAGGTTTCTCAACCTACACTAACAAGAATATTCGAAGCTTGGGTGACATTTGGAGATGCTGTTTTCAGTAGCTTGGACCTCCAACCTTCGCATGACCTGATAACATCAAGGATGCCTACACAATTCAAATCTCTCGGTTTTGGTCACGTTGCACTTATACTGGATGCAACAGAATTTCGCGTTGGCCGATTTTCTGACTTGAACCTAAATACATTATTTTTTTCTGATTATAAACAATGTCACACTGTTAAAGCCTTAGTCTGTCTTTCTCCTCATGGAGCTTTATGTCAAGTGCCAGACTTATACCCTGGCTCAATAACCGACACCGACATAACAACAATTTCCGAGCTTTGAACAAATGCCAAGTTCTTGATGGAGTTCTCACTGACAAAGGTAAGAGCTAGCTAACATGATTTAATGACAATTGGTAAGCTAAATTTGACTTGGGGTATTTAAAATTGTGAGTCTTTTTAAGAGTAACCGAGTTCAACATAATCTTTAATTTTTTCAGGCTTTGCTATTAGTGAATTAGCAGCTGAAAAGGGAGCAGAACACAATCGGCCTCCGATGAAATCTGCCAGTCAGTTCACAGAAGGCCAATGTGATGAAAATTTTAATATTGCTTGCCTCAGGATCCACGTGGAGCGATGGTACTTTTTATTAAACTTGCTTTACCTATTATTGAAATACACAAGATATCAGAGGTTCTGTAACATCATTTTTATCGCATTTCTGACAGGATTGGTTATCTTAGAAACTTTCGGATTCTAAATACTGTGTGGCCATGTGGCAGACTGGACTTGCTTAACAGCGTATGGAGATTCTTGGCTCATATTCAGGCTATATCAACACTTGTGAAACCGGTATGTGTAACTACTTTTCAGTTGACAGATACCCAGGACCGATGATATCTCAAATTACTTTTTTTTTTTAGAAAGAAAACTGCCCGAAAGCGATATAAAACAACACATTCAAAAAAAAAAAAACAGTAATTATCACAATTCACAAGGTTTATGGTGTAATCTAACATGTACTGAAATAGTGTTTTATGTCCTCTATTTGAGCACATTGCCTGGTCGCTTGGGTGTACATTAGTGTTGAGCACAATCAGGAGTCAGGAGTCCGAAAAACAGGACTCCGGGTCGATTTTTTAGGATCAGGATTGGAGCAGGAGTGCAGTTCTATGCTGTTCCCAGGAGTCAATCAGGAGTTTCAGTCGACGTTCTTTCGAAATTTATTTTAAAATAAAGATAAATAATTAATATAATTCGTTTGGTTTGCTTTTGACGTTTTCAATTTAGGCTCTTTCCACTGTAGTCACACTCACTGTGATGTAACAAATCCACTTCGTATTTACCGTGCTTAGGCCGTCTCGTAGAAAATTTTTCGTCGTGGGCGGAAGCTGGCACGTACGGTACTGACGTACGGTATACGAATAATTTAAGGTACGTTTGGTCTAAACTTCTGAAGGCTTGAAATTAATACTTAGGAGAGCATCATACCATCGTTGTCTTGGTGTTGTTTTATCTATCACTCTTACGGTGATTACAGATTTAAGATTACTGCACGGTACCGGTACCGTATTAGCAAGCCACTGGCAGAAGACAATGTCTGAAATTGGTGATATTGAAAGAAAATTAGCGTCGGGAGATTTAGTTGAAAAAGAGGCAAGTGGGAAAAGTGCAGCATGGGAGAATTGTGTTTTGTTGTATGGGAAAGACTCTGGAATATATTCTGGCTATATTGTTTGCAAAATATGTCAAAAAGTTCTCAAGCACAATCGTGCCAGATGTGGTACTGGGCATATCATAGCCCATCAAACCAATTGTGCTAAAACAAAAGATATAGGCGGAAATCAGAGACATAAAAGAATCACAAGTTTCTTTTCATCAAATAAAACTATAACGCCCTCATTGAAGAAAGAGGTGAACCATGCAGCAGTATCTTTCATAGCATCAGATATGAGACCGATACGTGCCATTGAAGGTGATGGCTTACTAAAACTTATAAATGTTAGCATAAAAATTGGTGCGCAAATTGGGAAGCTTGAGGCCAAAGATATTTTTACCATCTCGCTCCACTGTACAGCGAGAAATTGTGAAGCGTGCTAGCGAAGTGAAGTCAGATATTTCTACAAAGTTAATTAATGCTATTTCTGAATATGGTTTAATTGGATTAACCACGGATATGTGGACTGATATAAAAACTAGGCACTATATAAGCCTCACTGTTCATTATTTTTCCAATGATCACATTCTAGTCCCTCAGGTGTTGGCAGTGAAAAAGTTTCCAGATGAAGCTAAAACTGGAGTTAATTTAAGAAAATGCTTGAATAATGTTGTAAATCAATTGGGAGTTTCTTTCCAGTATATGGCACAACATTCTTTCTATGTCACTGATCAGGGCAGTAACATAAAACTGGCATTGGCAAATGTCAACCGTGCCCCTTGTCAGCTTGTTGTTGTCATATGCTGGCAACTGTGTTACGGCATACTCTTCAATTAGAAAAAAACAGCACTGTTAATCCAATTGACACTGAAGAAGAATTTGTGTATGTTGAAAGCAGTGGCGCAACCAGCGGGGGGGTTACGGGGGTCGTGTCCCCCCCGTTTGTAATTCGTTTTTTTATTATTGTTCTACGTTCAAACAACGTCGTTCTACGATCATAACAATCCGGTGAAAACTACTTTTTTCCAATGCTTTATCACCTCGACGTAATTTAACACCGCCCGACTGCAATCATACCTTTTTGCTGTTAGTTACGTAATAATCGCTATCCCCGCGTATATGTTTGTATTCGAAAATGAGATCTGTTACCTCAAAAAAGTAGAAATCGCGCGCTGTCGATGCGGATTGAAAGCGACAATAGCATAATGTTATCTTTCTCTCTCTTGTGACGAATACTCTCGTGCTTCATCATCTTGACGCAATGTAACGCCGCCCGTCTTCATGTTATAATAATGCAGTAGAAACTTTGAAAATCTGGATACGAAAATTATTTTCGGAAAAATATTGCTTCGATTAACCTAAGATTTTCTACGTATGAAAGGCCGAAAACCGAAAACGCGGTACACATTCTACCGCCCCCGTCCACGTTCCGATTTAAAAACATTTCACAATTATTTCATTTTTTATTGCAATCGAAAGCAGCCATGTGTGGCACGGCAATAACTAACAGTCGTCGTGAAAGGTCTTCAATAAACTCCGACTTGAAGTGCTTATAAGACGTCGAGGACGTTTTTGGTTGAAAATTTTTTACATTTGTTATCGAATATTTCAATTTAGTCAAGATATGTTGTGCGCCTCGGCAATAAACTTAAAAGCAAATCCTGCCCTAATTAATTGTTTTCATCCTCCGTTTCGATAGTTATCGAACTTAACGGGAAATTTTTTAATTTCTTGCAATCTATAAAATAGCTTCTAAATATTATTTGGTTTCTATCGGAGATTTTATCGTTATCCCGACATGGTTGATAACAATATCGTTCATTTTAAGTTGGAGGTATTGGTTTATAATCAGAAAATTATAACACATAACATAAAAAATTTAAATCAACGCCGACTCAAAAAGTAAAACACGTTTTTCCATCTTTATTCTCCATTATTGGCGGACGGAAATTTGGGAATCGGGTTTTAACTAATTTGATTATGATGACGATGGTAAACAAAAGTATACAAACATACCATACCGTTCTTAGTCGTTATTTCTCTGTCCTTTCTTCTTTCTATGTGCATATTAAGACCATAAAACGTGTTTTAATTTTGAACTCTGCGCTGATTTGAATATTGCATGTCGGCTGTTATGTATTTTTGTTTGTAAATGAATACCGCTAACTTAAATTGAACGATGTTGTCATCAACGCCGGATGCCGACGAAATCCGCGATAGATATTAAATACTATTTAAGAGCTATTTTATACGCGCTAAATTACAAGAAATGAAAAAATTTCCTGTTATGTTCGGTCACTATCGAAACTGAGGATGAAAACAACTAATTAAGACACAATTCGCCGAGGACGCCTAAACCATCTCGACTAAGTTAAAATACACGATAAGAAAATATTTTCAATCAAAAACGTCCTCGAAGTCTTATAAGTTCTTAAGTCGGCGTTTATCGAAATTCTTTCATGTCAGCTGTAATATATTGCCGAACCACACATGGACGACGACGCTAGGATATGTGCGCCATATTCGGGATTATTATAAACACGAAAAAACAGTATTTGAAGTTTGCGATATTTGAATTTAAATTTGATTTGGACATCCCTGCATTAAATTAGTCAGTTTTTAGTTGTGTTTCCAAAAACTAGCTGTAAATCAATTATTTTAATTGTCATTATGTCTTCCGGTGAGCTTCAGTTTAGTTTAGAATTTTTCTGGGGTTAGGGTCGGGAAAAGGTCCATTCGCAAGAAGTGCATTTTGGTTTTAGTCTTGACGAATTCACCCAACGAGCAAGGCGCGGCACGAGGGAAACACTGGAATTTATTCAAGCCGTGTTTCACTATCCACGAAGCGCAAAGCGAGGGAAACGTTGAAAATAATCAACAGCTTTTTGTTAGCAATTCGCTGGAATGTAATGAACGGCGTTTTGCTACCCACGAGGTGCAAGACATAGCGAAGCGCCGTTAATGAACGAGTGCAAGGTAAGCGAAAGGCTGGGATTTAATCGATGGCGTTTCCCTTTTAACCACAAGCAATTTATCGTGTTTCAGCGGGGCGACACCTAGTGGCGTTGCGACTTACGTCTGGTTGCACTGTGTAAATTCCGGTCGGACCCCCCCCCGTTGAAAACGGCCTGGTTGCGCCACTGGTTGAAAGTATTCGGGCAACGATCAACTGCATAAAAACTGTAGCAGCATACTTTAAGCGTTCCGGCTTGAATAACAAGCTTAGTCATAGTCTTCCACAAGGCAATGAAACCAGATGGAACTCTACTTTCATGATGCTGGAATCATTCAATAAAAATTACACTGAAATTCACAATGTTCTTGAAAGTGAGGATCAGCTTCGTAGAATTGATATGGTTGATCTGGCCAATGTTAGAATTTTAATTGAATTTTTGTCACCATTTTATGATGCTTCAAAATATCTTGAAGGCGAATACTATCCCACCATACACAAAGTTATTCTATGGCTTGAGAAGTTGAAACGCATATACTGGTTAAGTTTAATGACTCAGAGATATTAAAATTTTTGAAAAAAAGGTGTCAGGCATGCCTAATATCGAAATTTGAAGTTCTCGATATACATTATTTGGCTTTATTCCTGAACCCTAAATTTAAGTCACTGATCGCTGTAGATGAGGAGAAAAGAAACAGCATCCATGCTTACTGCCGTAATTTGCTTGAAGCATTATTTCACCAAACTTCCAGCAGTGCTGGAACCAGTGCTGCTACTAATAATAACGACCACTGTTACACCACCCTTCGATGCGAAAAGCGCCAAGGCTCGATTGATGATGAATTTATTGATTGGCAAGAGTGTCTTGAGCAGCCACCAGTAATGGATGAAGTATCGCTTTATGTTTCATCTTGTTTTGAAGGACCAGAAGCTACGCAATCTAATGAAGCTTGTGGTGAATTCAACATATTAAATTTTTGGCAATTATCCAGCATAAAAAAGCGCTTTCCATTGCTTTGTCGATTGGCAATAGGTATTTTATCTATTCCTGCATCGAGTGCATCTAGTGAGAGAGCGTTTAGTGCTTGCGGGAACACAGTTACCAAGAAAAGGGCAAATTTGTCTGCAGCTTCAGTTGATTCTCTAATTGTATTGCATTCTAGCATGAAGAAGTAGCCTGACATACATTTGTACAAGACTTCAATGTTTTAAATTTCTTAAGCCTGTATTTTAAATTTTGAGAAAGTGATAGTGTGATTTTAATGCTAAGATGTCTTCGAATTCATGAAAATAGAGAAAATTTTACAGAAATTAAAATTAGCAATAGGGAGTTGAACGATTTTCAGCGTTAGAAGATATTTATTAAATGTAAATGCATTGACAGCTCAGTTGGTTTGCACTACTTCATCAGAGCAGCACAAATTTCACTGGTGTAATAGCAGTTGTGGAGGTTTCGTTAATTTATTTGCATTTGTCGTAATTTAATTGCAACGTTATAATTTTCAGTTTTGGTTTATTGCCAGTTCATTATAGATATTTTGTAGAAAAGTTCTACCGGTTTATACCATTCGTTCTACTGATTTTAGATTTAGTTCGAATTTTTCAAATGAGGTAAATAATAATGATTTTGATTTTATGCTTGCGCGACTTGCACATTCACTTTGAACAATTCGATGCAAGGTTTTAATATATCATTTTTTTCTTTCAGACTAAAATTTTTTTCTGTTTTTTTCAGAATATATCATAGTGTAATAATCTATAGTTGGTTCCAACCAAACTCAAGTTTACATGAATTGCTTGGATTACAAAAGTCATATTAAGCTCGAAAAGAGACAGGAGCGAACAGGAGTCATATATTTCCAGCTTCGGAGTCGGACTCCGATTTTCATTTTTGGTTTCGGATCAGGATCGGATCGGAGTCTGAAATTCTTGACTCCGCTCATCTATAGTGTACATAGACCTCAGATGGCGCAGCGAAGAAAAGTTTGGAATTTGTCCAAAATTGGCCAACCATAGTTTCTCATGAATGAGACTGAGGGGTTCCCAGCGATCAGATTCAGATATGGTTTTTCTATTTTTAATGCAATTCAGCAGTTTTTGTGTTATATCCACTAAATGGGCCATGTATGGTATGGAAAAGTAATTTGAACAATTAGTCTCTGGATGATAGGATTGGAGAATGCAAAATTTCTTCCCTGTGCACAACATTTGTATCTGCGTTTGAATAATATGAGACTTATCCAAGCTTTTCAAAGGGCTGTCTTGGTTGGCAGCCCTGGTTTTTATTTCAAGAATGTAGTCCGTTTTTGTTGGTAATAATGCGTCTGGGCTGGCTCCCATTGATCCATATTGAAAGAAACCGCATTCTACAGCATCAATGCCTGAGAACAATGTGAAAAGGCTTTCATTTTGACAAATAAAAGCCCTTACTAACTTTAAAGCATCGGACAGTCCTACATTCATATGACCTATTTAGAAAATACCTGCCGGACCTATTTGAAAAATAGGATAGGTTTTACATATTTATCTCGGGGGAGAGAGGAATGACGATAAGACAGCTTATCTATATGACCAACCACAGCCTCTCGTCCGGTTACCACTCCAAGTCGGGTATGGGATTAGTTAGTTATTTGTTTTCGAAAGCATGGACTTGATGGTGGAGGAAGCCGTAACCGAACAGCGGTTACGTGGACCATCCTACAATGGCGAGGAGTCCAGCAATCCTCTCACACATAACCATCCCTGCATGGGATTCGAACCAGCGACCCCACGCAGAGTAATCAGAGGTGCAGTGGCGAGCGTATTCCTTACTACTTACCAGAGTCTGTGCAAAATTTGCTTCGTGCAATAGCTTCATAAGCTCTCCCGCGCCGATAGTTCAGCCAGTTATTTTCTGGGGCTTTGTCACCATTATTGAAGAGAGTCCATTCTTCATCCATTTTTTTCATGCCATTGAAACCTAAAGTATTTTACCTGTTTAGACAACTGTGTAATTCTTTGAAAAGCAGTCACTGCTTATCAAGCCTTTCTGTTGTGAAATTAGCAGAGAGAGCCTTACCTAACAGAGTACCACAGATAGACGCTGTAAGCAATCCTTGCCTCAACTCAAACCAAGCATTTGTTTTTTGCTGGACTGCATGGTACACTGGCTGCCCCCTATTCCAACTATCCGGGACTAGATTAGAGCGGTTCGAAGACTCTGGAATATCAGTAGCCTCGGTCAGTACGCATAGTGGATCGATTGTAGTCTGCGCTGGTAAAGCCTGGCTGTAATTATGATCATTTGTTGCTGCAGTCTTGATATATCTTTCCGAGAGTGTGATGTAAAGCCCTCCATTTCTAAATCTTTCGTTCTGTCCCAATGTCCTTAAAAAGTGTAATTCTACTTCCTGCTTATTTATTTTTGACCTAATGTATCTGACTTTTTCTTGCAAATTCCTCTTTTTTAATGGTTTCTTGATATTATCTTTTTTTTTAATATGTCTCGTTGACTTGGCCTGTAAATAAGTTGCATGTGAACAATAATTCTGAAAAAAATGTGGAAAATGGTTGTATCAATAAATATAAAATGACTGGGCAAACCTGAATTTTTTGTATAGGGAGCATAGCCGCAGATGTCCTTTTTCCTCGCTTGTGCCACTGCATAGGTAAATTCGTAACCTGAGTTTCAAGAATTGCATTGCCTGTTTTTGTAATATTTATCAATTGGTATAAAATCGCAATTACATGGGAACATATTCCAGATTTGCCAATAAGGCAATCACAATATGGCCACTCTGGTCACAAGATTGTTGTATGAACTTCTGACGTGTGCTCGGATATACAGGTTTTCTTTTGCTGCCAGGGTCCTAATTGTAACAATCTGAAAATACGAGCTATACTTTGAAATACAGTATATCAAATAAAAACTCTCAATCAGTAATTACAAAAACAAAATTAATCTCACCTTTTGACTTTTAAACAAGGAATAACCTTTTTGTAACATGCTTTTCTGACCTGCCACTATTGCTGATCGCTTTGACTGTATGTAAGTGTAAAGCTGTCTTTCTGTGAGTGGAGGATAACATCCAACAACCCACACACCACTAATACTATTCACCTCGTCTACAGGCAACTTGCGGTTGAAAATTCCTTTGTCCTTTTTTAAGGTGTCATACTTACGGCGATATCGATTAAGAAGCTGAGCATGTTTGGAGTATAAAGTAACACGATTTTGCAACTCGTTATTCGTTCCAGACACTTTTTGCCCGATGGAAGCAAGAAATTCTTTCGAAGTAATTGGATCAGACATATTACTTACTGACTTAATAGACATATATTCTGCAGAGTTGCAATTTCATAAGTCAGTGTGCAATGTTAAATATTCCTATATGAGAGAGCTAAATCTCCTTCCCTACACTGGCAAGCGATTCGTCTTTTCTCACATTTTCTGCTACCAGATTGCTGACATTAATATACATAATAAGAGCTTACTTACCTGATTCTGTAATTATCATGCTACGAATGAGGATGAGAGGGTATTGAGTTCTCATTTGTAGCATGATAATGACAGAATTCATATGTCAATACTCAATTGGTTAGTGCCGACTGATATCAGTTGTAAGCCAACTCACCACGGCAAGGTTTCAGTCATAGAGTTGGAATTTCTTTTATGCAGAAGAAAACCAGGAACAGATAGGCACTGTCGCTGCACCTGGCAAAGAAACTGGGAAAAGCATTCAGAAATCGTTTGATTTATTAATTAGGTAACGGTACCTTTTTCGGGTATATTTTGTCAATACCGTAACTAGACTAGGTACTAAATATACGTAAAGGTACGGTACCGGTACCCCTACCTACTCTTCGCAACACCCAGATATCTGAACGTTCCAGCATTCATACCCATGGCCTTGTATACCGGTACTCAAACATTTTCAGTAACTGTCAGAGTTGACAACTCTGTTCAAAACACAGTACAGTATAACAGTTTCAGCACAGTGACATCTCTGAACATTAAGATCTTTTCCGAATCAGACACGCCAACGCGAGTTACCGTATTTTTCGCAAGAAAAATTTAAAAAACCCGCGGTCACCTCGATTCCACAAAAGTAATGCGGAAGTGGCGACAGGTCAAAGGTTATGAATGTCGGTAATTTTTTAGCCGACAAGGAACAAGGAATTTTTAGGTTGCCAGATATCCAACGTTAAAAAATTCATCCTTAACCATAAAATCTCACTGCAACAAGCGCATTACCAACACTCAATTCAATACACTGATCGCTGACCTGATTTAGCCGACAAGGAACAAGGAATTTTTAGGTTGCCAGATATCCAACGTTAAAAAATTCATCCTAATCTATAAAATCTCACTGCAACAAGCGCATTACCAACACTCAATTCAGTACAGTGATCGCTGACCTGTTCACAATTTTTTAGCGGACTAGAATGAACTCTGGAATCACTGTATGCTTGCTATTCAAAAATAAATACCCAGGTCTATAGATCTGATGTGAAGTCGTGTGCCAGGGAAACACGACCCATCCTCGGAGAATGCTTGCAACAACGGTTGTATGTATTAAATTTCTTATAGATAGATACATCACGGAGCCTCTTGTAGAAATGGATTCTTAAGTAAATTGTGGTTTGCGAAAAACATAATTTTATCACAGGTTAGTTCACGAAAACTCGATAATAGGGCCTTCGGCAGAAAGTATTATTTTTAAAAAACAGTTTTAGAATGCCGTTCTATGATAATCCTGACCGCGAACAATAAACCATTCAATTATTATCATATATTTAAATAAAAACTAGTAACGCACATGTACTGCAAAATATTATTGCGAAAACTGAATTTATGCGAAAAAACAAGAGTCAGTCCCGCAAGATATATTCTTGAAAAACTAAATTTTTGGCGAAATATTGTATTTCCGCAGAAAATTATTCCCACAATTTGTTATTTTGCTACCATATATGACGTCAAAAAAACTTGGTCGAGCGCAATATATTCATATGACCCGTATTTAGAAACGTTATTTCAAAATGCCACTAAACACTAGAAAAGAAAAGCGGACCTAGGGAAATGGCGGCGGTACTCATTGTAATACGATATGAGTAATTATTAATCGTACTAGTGTTATTTCACTGGCCAGTATAAGTTCGACTCCATACTCGTGACAACATGACATACAATAAAACAGTTACTAAATAAATAAAAACTGATTATAAAATCCGGGAAGCAAACAAAATCGTAGGCTCTAAAGCAAGGGTGTGCAACAGGCGACACATCCCGGTCCGCCAACCCATTCAGTGTGGTCCTTGTCAACACTCAAATTTTTCCACATCGAGTATTAAATAATAATGAGTCTGTTTATGTTCGAGACGCGCAAAAAAGCATGGGCCGCAGAGATCTTTTTCAGTATTTTGAGCCTGGTAGCAACGACTTTGTCATTGTAATGTCAATGTAAAACTCATTTCGTTTGAGGCATCGATCAACTGCAGAGGTATTGATATGATGAACCCGAAACAGAAAACTCTTGATTAAAATTGTGACTCTACCTTACAGTCCAGATTTAAAAAAAGAGTCACTGTCATAATTTTGGATATCTCTTGATAACGAATACCTATCGCTAAGTAATCGAGCAATCAAACTCTTGTTCGTATTATCAACCAGTTACTAGATTATGCGAAAACACATTTTCATCACTAGCTTTAATTAAAACGAAGCAAAGGAATAGGCGGCACACCGCTGCAGAGCTACGTTTTGCAAAAACTTCTTTGAGGCCTCGTTTGCAATCGTGCATCGGAAACGAAACAGCAGCAAAATTCCCATCAGAGTTAATTGTGTTTGTACATTATTTGGAGATGTTTCATGCGTGCCTTTCTTACGCATAATGGGTGCCCAGCACTGCATTTTATTACGCAATTATATAATAATATTTTATGTTTCACCTATTTCAATTTTTGGCCGGCATAT